GTTACCTTACCAGTTACTGACCAGTAAGGTTACTAAATCACATAAAACTTATGGCAGGTAAATCTACTATTACTACAGTGAATGATTTTGTTGTTCCATTCAACTGAGTGACAAAACTAATGACATCTTATTGCATGCTGAAGGAAGTAACCATCCTCACCAATTCTCAGTAAATATTACCAACCTGATGGTTTTATACAAATAAATGATACTGAGTGAATAAAAACGGTATTCTGACCAAAAATATTTGTAAAAACAGAAATTGTTAAGAAAATGCAGTAAGAAGAGTAGGATAGACACAAGAGACAACTGAAGCAGAAAACCATGTTTTATCCGCCACTAAAGAAAGATTTCCACAGTTGATGCCCATCTCATGCAAACCCTTTTGTTTGTTCATGAAAGTCAAGATTTTTGGGTGCCGCTGCATTTCTTCTGAAAAACTCATCCAGGTTCTTCGAAGAAGCTATTCTTCTGGTGCTATTATCCCTGTGTCAAGTGTTAATTCTCATTTCAATAACAATAAAAATATCTAAAGTATATCAAAGTGTGGTGAATTTGAAACCAGGCAACAATTCCTGGGTGGTTTTTTAAAAAATAGTAATTCCTAAAAAACACAATAAAAAAAACCCAAACAACTGTTGCTGTGGTTGAATTTCATTAGCATCCTTGGGACCACAGCTATCTTAGGTAACAAATGTACTGAATTTCCAAAGACACAGAGAACATGCAATGGTTTCTTTATACTCGTGTAGTAAGCTGATGTTCTCTTTAACCCCTAGAGGAAAGGCATCAAAGGTAGAGTACTTCACAATTCTTCTCCATGTCCAAACTTTGGTAAGCTGACCTCCCATTTCCCCGAGAAATAAACTTCCTTCGTAAGCAGATCAACTTCAGCTTCAACTTGCCCAGCACTCAGTGGACTTTAAAGCACAGAATTCACTTCTCCGCCCACCACAAAAGGAATGCTATTGCATGGAGCACTAGCCAACTTCTGCACCCCTTCTTGTGTCTTCCCCTATATCACTGGTATCACTAGTACATCTCCCAACCGAATCTTTAGATTACCATCCACGTTGTTACCACTCAGCAATGAACCAGAGAAGCATATCTCCTCACAACCTCCTCCTCCTCCTCAAAAGCCTAGTGACCAAAGTCCTTATAGGGAACATGGCAGCCCCTGAACCACCTAAACAAAACCAGGAATGTAAATCCTTAATTCTTGACACCCCAAGTAAATGCCCTCATCACCGAATTAAAGAATTTACCTCTGTCTCTCACCATCTCCTCCTGGCACTGCTTCAGCCATCGTATATATGACTGAGACACGTACACAAAATGTAGAAGAGACAGATTAAAATGTATCTTCTAATTTACATTTATTTATTTATATAATATACATTTATTTATTTATTTGTAAAAAGTGGAATAGCTTTAGTGCGGTATTATAAGTGGAACAGTCCCTCATTCACAGAGGAGGGACTCGAACTTCAGTCTCTCACACATCAGGTGACTGCTGCTGTCAAAAATCAGTATTTCCCACTTCAGAAAGTTTCAGCAAAAAAGTCCTATTTTAACAAAACAGCTAACCTACAGAATATTTATTTCATTCCGTATTTATAGGAAACTGCTATCAGGTATGGTTTAAATATCTTTATAACATGTATTTGTGTTATTTTAATTAAGCTTTTGCTACAGTCTTACTGCTTTATATTATCACATTAGCCTTTTTTATACTCGTTTTTCTAAAGTAGTTTTCCTACCGTGTTTTATAGTATTTACACATACATGTCTCTCATTGTATAAACTTTTCTCCCTCATTTTCCTACAAATTGTTCTATCTAGTTGCTTGTTTGTTCTCCCCCTCTTTCATATTTCAAAATCTCTTTTACACTATCAAGTTTAAATTTCTGAATTAACACACTAATCTTATTTCTTCACGTAAAACCTTGTAAACTTCTCCCAACACCTATTACACAAAAGACTGAATCTACACAACAGTTCGGTATCAAAGACGGAAGGAGAAGCATCATCTACAGGAACCACCCAGACGAGAAGAAAAAACCCCACATTTCTAGCTACTTGAATTCCCACTAGGATATTCCTCCCCGGATTTTTTTCTTTGCAGTGTGTATCAGCCCCAAGCCACTGGAAGCATAATAAATTTCAAGCCTTTACATTGTTCCCTTATTTCAAACATGCTTCAAGAGGAAATTTGTTTTTATTTTTTTCCTTCAAAGTGTTGTACTAGACAGAAATAGGTTTTTTTCTTCCCTTAAATTCCTGTTTAGGAGAGCAGTATCAGTTCATTCTGCTCAATCCACTGCTCACTAGTAACTCCAGTTTTTGCATCCCTGTTTTCAGTTTTTCCAAGAAATGAACTGAAACTTGCTTGTAGTAGTCTCATCGCTCTCCACAGAGAAAAGCAGTAGGGAAAAAGATACTGTTTTGACCTACCTCTGGCTGTCTGGTTTTGTTTTCAGGAAAGCAAAGGTGATATTTCTGAACTAGTTTCTGCACAAGAAACATTTAAGCACTACTTTTGCAATTTTAATTTTTTTTTTTTAAAATGAAAACGTAGTCTCTGGCAAATGTTTTAGCTACCTGCATGTTTCACACTTGCAACAGATCAGTGGAATTTTCAAATCCTAGATGCTATTATCCACTACAAATTCACACACTTTATTAGAAAAAAATCCATGTTCTCTTGTCATCAGCACTGTAATCTTATGCTTTGATAAGGTCTGCTGGTTTCACTCAAGGATGAGTCCTCTTCTTAGAAGAAACACTGGAAGATCAAGGAAAATAATTCCTTACTTCAAACTGGCAATGTTGCATGAGGAGTTAACACAATTTTCACTCACGCCATTTAATGCCTAGGCCAGTTATTCTCATTTCATAAGAGACAGAAATGCCTAAATCAATTAGAGGACTGAAAAACAGAAAACCTAGAAAAGGATGCAATTTTTATTATTAACCTAAATTGGAATCGTTATACTCACTCTACCATAATTTCCTGCATTTGGAAGAGTAATTTATATGATCTGTACGTGAAGTAGACAAGATATCAGCAGGTGACTATCTGTATTCTCTTTTTACTTGTAACATAATGATTCCAAATTCCTTCGACTTCCATAAACTATTGCCTTATCTAAGCAAATATAAATCCAATTCCCACTACAGTGATTACAGGATACAAAAAATAGCAACGCATTTAATATAATACGATTGAATATCATCTATTCTTCATTTTGCATGAAAAAAAATAATTGCAAATAGTATGTGTTCTGAACATATACTACATTCACCAGAATTTTAAGACGCACAAAAAGGAAGAGTGGGTTTTATAGTATCTGGAATCACTCGACTAAAGAATACTACAAATTTAAAACCAACTCAAGAAAGAAGGAAGTCAAAAGATAAGAGCACAAAGTCTGATGTCCAATGTGATCGAATGATTACATTTTTTCGAAGAATTTTTCTCATCAAACTCTTCAGAGTTTTTCCTGTGTGGTTTTTTTTTTAAAGCAGCACTCAAAATGCAGAAATACATAATCTGTTTTTAAGTATAATAATCATTTCAGGGAACAGAGGTCTGATCTCTGTCACACTGGCACAACCATTGCAAAAATGAACAAAAATAACAAAACAGGAAAAAGAACTATAACTCTCCTCTACTAGAAATACTCTCTCAAAGATTATCTGTTAACTTAGGGATAGTATCCCAGTTTCTAATACGCACACTCTCATGTTAGCCAAGAGAGCAGCAGGTCTAGGAAAGAATAAAAATGCCGGCATGTAAGCACTGCTATGAAAATTCAAGTAGCTACAGCTCTTCAGGTTTCTTGGGAAAGGTTCTGGAAGTTGCACTCTAGAAATTAACCTCCTGCACTGGACCTACCATATACCTATATTACACTCAATAATCCTGAAGTATTTTTATAAACTTTATGTTAGAAGGCAGCAGGCACCACTTTCACAAGACTAGGTTTCTTTTTCATACAAACTGTAGACTGACGCTTTTGTCAGTAGATTATACGAAACAAGAATAACAAAATGGCCTAATTTTTTAATGTATTTTATTTCTTTTCTTCATTAAAAAAACCACATTTTTGAGGAGAACTGTTTTCTATACCAAACACTTTAAAGCCAACTGCAAAAAATAAACATCATTTAGCAAAAAGTCTAACAACCACAGTGACAACACTGATATTTAAAGTAGAATGTTAGCTTAACTTGGTAAGTATAATAAAAATAACGGGTCTATAACCAGCTTTTCTAATGTTTACTACAGGAATTTTCATTTAGGTAGCAGGATGCAAGAAATTAATTATACCTCCAAAGTTCCAATATTAAAAACATAACCCAAATTGTGCATTGTCTGTCACATAGATGTAAATGTAACAAAATAGTGTCCACCAAATGTAACTGTTTTTTACTGCCTAGTATTTATAGGTGAATCAGAATGAATCAGTATGCAGTGCAAAACTGGAAAAGACTGTGCCTCTAATAAATTCAGTACAAGCCTAGCAAAAAAGCCTGCTGTTATCATGAAAGCTCATGTTATCATGAGATTACAACAGACGTTGAGTGAGAATATGTACAAATTTAATGAAATGTAACAGAAAACACTTCAAATCATAACAAATTTCTGTAGTGCCTTCTATTGCATCTCATCGCCTGCTAAGGGCTCTTGTCACATTAGCTGCCTTAATAAACTACATGGCAGTGCCACCATAACAACGTGACATACAACTAAAATTTTTTTCTACTCTAAGAGAGAAACTAGGTTCCATTAGAAAAAAGTTCTGGGAAAAAAGCGCAAGTATTCCCATCATAAATAAAATTATCATGTAGG